TGTTGTTCAAGTCAACAGTAGTCTTCATTTGTGTGTCTATCTTGATGCCTAAAATGCTTCCAGATTTAGCTTTTATATAATTCTTTGAAGGTTGACATTTTATAGGAACAGAGTTTTCCCTGAAGTGTTAATTTTATACATGTTTTGTATTGCTGTCTTTTAAAATGATGATAGTCTAGACATTTATTTATTAAAGCATAGCATGGTATTTTAGCTGGTGAAATCTTTGAAAGATTCTTTGACTTCTAAAGGAACATCATTTAAACAAACAAATAACAAACCTCTTTCCCTTGGCTTCAAATTAAACATAAAATTAAATACGGGAATAAAAGACAACTTCTGAAAAGGTTATTTTCTATAGCTAGCATTGATAGTTAGGGCCCTCCCTGGCCAGCACTGCAAGCTGGCCACAGCTGCTTCACTGGGAGCTCGATTCCCAGCCAGGGAGTGACCTGTAGGGCGTGGCAGACCTCTCCTGACTCGCCCACTGCACCCCTCAGCAGTGGACTTTGTTGATCTGCCTGTTCTGCTCCCCACTCTGTCTCTGGTGAAACTTCTCACCACCCCTGTACCTCCGGCTTGTACCCTAGTTCTGTGTGCACAAATAAATAAATCTTTTTTTAAAAATCTAACACTGATAGGCAGAATCTAATCTTGTTCACGTAGAATGGTCATGAGCCCAGCGCCTGAAGCCAGCTGGCTGCTCTGAATCCTCTTTTCTGAGGTGTGTCTTTGGTCAAAGTAATTCGCTGCTCTGTCTCTCAGTTTTCTGTCTGTAAAATGGGGGACATTAACATGTTACCCACCCACCCCATGAGCTTGTTGAATAGGTAGAGGCAAGGTGCAGAGAACAGTGCGTGGATTCAGTAAATTTTCTGTTCTTCCCAGGTATATTTTTGTTGTTTGTTAGTACCATTTCATCATCACAACACGGCCGCAGATTAACTACCTGCTGCTTAATTGTCTCTGGGACTTAGGTCCCTCGTGATGTAAGGAGAGTTGGGTTATTTGGGACTCGCTGACTGGCTGTGCCAGTCTGCGCTGGCACTGTGGTACGCTTGTCTGTTTTCCCTCACTGGTTCTGTGCTTGCTGTTAAACTACATGGAAACATGGGCTCTGGCAATACGTACACGGGTAGCTGGGCAGTGCAGGCTCAGCTGCACTGACATTGACTTGCTCACTGGTCCTCTGTCATCAGGTAGGAGGGGAGGGCTTTTGAATGTAGACTCCATGCAGCAGGCCACGTCTGCCAGCCGAGCCTGCCCTCACCCACGACATTGTCAGGCTTGCCAGTTTCTTCTCCCTTTACGTCTGGTGTGATATGATTTCATTATCTTTTCTCTCCACAAACTCTTACACATTCCATTATATTTTCTCTTCTTTCTTGTGGCTCTAAGAATTTGAAATTGTGCATCTTTATTTTATCTTTCATTTATCCTTGCCAGGTATCTTGTTAGTAGAGATAGATTCTTTTTATTGGCCTACTCATATTTATAGAACTTTGCAGGTTCTATACTTATTTAGTAAGAAGTACTCATAATTAAAGTTAAATATTACCAAAAGGATTTTTAAAAAAACTTTAAAAAGGTTACTCCTATTATTTCTAAATACACATGACTGCATGTGGAAAATGCTTCTTTTAAGGTACTTTTTCTATGAATGACTTCACATGTCTCCGTATTTAAGAGACTTTTTCCCATCCTACAGGGTAACCCCACAAATTTGCTGAAACGTTTTCTTACAACCGGCTCTTGCTTGCTTTAGACACTGGTCGTTGCCATGGGACACTGGGACCAGTTACTGCACTAGGTTGCACGTCTGCATGTGTATAGATGGAGGATAAAGTTACAGATTTTTTTTTTAACTTTTTAACCTTAGTATTTCTCAGAAAGATATGCAGCTGTGTGATCTTCATGGGAAATTTTGCCTTCCTACATATTTGAAGCTTTGCCTCCCGGCAGCTTTTCCTGTATTACAGAGAATACGTTTGCTGCTGTTACTGGTTTCTGCGCTTGTCAGTAGCATTTGCACTGTTTTTCTTGCGTCCTTCAGTCAGGGAGCCAGGGAGCCACTCCTGATGTTATTAGCAACAGCGTTTCCCCCATGACTCTTAACAAGTTGTTGAAATGGACTATGAAAGAAGGAAAGGCCTGTATTTCCTAAGTGCCTTTGGTGAGAGAAACCCTTATGCTTAATGTCATCTGTACTGGTGATGATGGTTGGTCAATTGAATTAAAGTTTGGTGTCCTCAACAGTGACATAAGCCTTGGAACATTTTAGTATACATGTAACGCCAGTCTTTTATACATATAAAGCTTTTTTAGTCTCTGTCTGATAATGAGAACTGTACTTGTTTTCTTTCACAAAGCACGCCTGTGTTTCAGCTCCAAGTGCCAGCTTTGGTTTCTTTCAAGTGGAGAGAGAACTGACTTCGATTTCAAAGGCATTCTGAAGATTGAATTCTGCCGGACTTTGTATGACCTCCCCCCACCCCCATCTTTTATATATGTCTTGCAGTTTTTCAGTGACTCACTTGATGGAAATTTTCTAAACATTAAACTTAACTTGTTCAGTTAACATAATATTTAAATTGGATAATTATAGTGCACGCAGAATTGGGATAAACACATTAGTGGCAAGCAGACTTGATAAGCATAAAGCCACTGGGACAGGAGCGAGCGTGACCCCGCGAGGGCTGCTGGAGCGTGTTAAGTCTTCACGGATGTTTCACAGGGTGAAAGGAGGAGGTCTGCGGGGTCCGTAGGGCGCTCTAGGAGTCAGGGGATGAAGCTTTCCCAGGCACATGTTGAGACTGTGTCTTGAAGCTTACAGACTGTTACTTCTTGGAGTTAGGATATCTCAGCACTCAAGTCACCACTTTAACAATTCATAATGAAGAGAGAATAAAAGATACAGCATCAGTCCTTCAGAGGCTTACGTCCAGTGTTGAATGTGTAAGGCAGTGTAAGAACGCAGGGAGTGCACTTGTGTCTGAGGCACAGGAAAGGATTTCAGGAGCGGTGGCGCTGGTGTTCACATTTTGCAGGACAGGTCAGTCTTAGCCAGAGGGACTGCGAGCGGGTGGGAGTCTGGTGTCACGCTGCGGGCGCCTCGGCTCGGCGGGCTTTGTGCTCCACTGGCGTGAGCGCCGCCGTGCTGGGACGGGGTGGTGTCAGCACGTTTCGTGTTCAGTAAGCATGGAAGTGATGAATGAGAGACAGAGACCAACCCTCAGAGAACCCGGCATGCCTTGCTGTGAAGCCACACTCACCCTGACAGTCCTTCGAGTGCCTTCGCCGGGGCGGCACAGCCAAGTTTGATGGCGAGAAGTAACCCCCTTGAAACACTGGGAGAAGGGAGGGAGATCCAAGTCAGGAATAACACGAGGCCATTGAAGTAGCTCAGGTGAGAGATGAAGGGGAGCCCGTGCTGTCTGGGACAGCTTTGGGGCGTTGTGAGCATGGGGGTGGGTCCGTTTAGAAACTTGAGGACGAGTGCGGACAGACTGGCTGACAGCCTGTGACTGAGCGCATGGGTGGGGCGGGGGGTGAGTGTTGATTTCAGAGTTATTTTGTCTCAGTTACTAGTAATTTTCTTTCTTGGACGGTATGCTGTAAAAGGCACTTTGCTTTAGCTTGCTTTATATAATCATTATGTAGAATTATGTAGACCTTGTTACAAGTAATGATGGAAGAGTTTTCAACTGCTGTGCTGAGAAATGCTCTTTAATCACGCTTTTAAAAATAATTAAAATTATAGTCCACAGGTTTTTTTATCCCCAGAACTATTGTACCAAAAAATTTCAGTGTAGCATTCAAATTTAGGCCATAACACTGGGGTTATTCCAGTATTTGCACTGCATAAGCTTTCCAGGATTTGCATTTTATAAACTTTCTCCAGCGGAAAAATCATCAACAACCGTAACTCTACTGTTTGAGTGGCTTTATGCTCAGTGCTGTGACCTCATGTTCCCCTGTGACCTTCTGTCATCAAGGGGAGTAACAGACACACATGGAGGGGGAGAGCAGAGGTTGAGAGGGAAGGGCGAGAGCGGTCATTTCTGAGGCTGCTGGGTAAGACCTGTATAAATTACTGTAACACTTCTGGGGCGAACACCGGCAGAATCAGTATTGCTTTCGTTTGGGTTGGATGAACTATTTTAGGAGCACCCACATTAACTTCTGCAAACGCATCAATAAATAGTTGTGTGTTGATTATTGGGGTTGCTAGTGACGCCAGCATGCAGACCAGCCTCTGGTGCTCATGTTGGTGTTTCCATTTGTTAAATAAGATGTGGTATGAAAGAAAGGGAAAACGCAAGTCTATTTTTTCTCAGTAATATTGTAGAGTACTTGAAAATGAAGCTATTGCTTTATACGATACTTTCATGGCATTTGTCTTTACCTGTGAAAGTTAGAGTTTCAAATAAGGACCTTGAGAGAGCATCTCATTTTTTTTTGACATTTTCAGTGAAGAGACTTGAAACAAGACTTGGTCTTGTGGAATCAGAGACTTACCACGTTGCCCTCCCTCGACTGTGTGCGCCTCTGTATCCCCAGGGGGCAGGTACATGGACCTTGAAGCAGTCCTGGTGAAAAAAGCAGTTGTGCCACAAAAACACAAATCACCAGCACTGCAAATGAATTTAGAATTAAGTAAATGGTCAGTCTGTACTTGTGGTCATAGTCTAATAACTGCTGGACGCTCGGACTCAGAAGGAAATACGCACTGCGTGGCTCGCCCACCGCTGTCCCGGCTCCCGGTCCCCCCGCGCCTCTCCGCACACGCCCCCCCCCCCCCCCCCCCCCCCCCCCCCCCGCCTGTCTTCCCTGATAGTCCGCCCAGGAGGGCAGGAAGCCTCTGGCTCTTTCACTCGTGTGGCTCGCATCAAGTAAAGCACTGATGCTGACTGACTGCCGGGCTGGCCAGCTTTCATTTATATGGGTCTGTGGGAAGCTTACAGTACTTAAATAACCTGTTTGCTTTTTCTTTTAAACAGTGAGCAGAGCATCTGTCAGGCAAGAGCTGCGGTGATGGTTTATGATGATGCCAATAAGAAGTGGGTACCAGCTGGTGGCTCAACTGGGTTCAGCAGAGTTCATATATATCACCATACAGGCAACAACACGTTCAGAGTGGTGGGCAGGAAGATTCAGGATCATCAGGTAAGAGCTGGTTGAATTCTTGTTTCAAGCTACAGAGTATTAAAAAAGAGCATCATGTAGTTCATCAAATTAGTGTCTTTGGGCACCAGAGGACAGAGATTGGCCTTTCCCCCCTCCCCACCTTAGAGGAGCATTTGGAACTAATAGTTTTTCAATTGTGAGTAGGTCTCTGGCCTTGCAACTAGCTTTGTTTGGGAATTGGGAGTAAGTTTAGAACAAACAAAATGTGAAACTAGTAGCAGGTGGTATATTTAAGGAATTTGTTTTCTGCCAAGGGTGTGATAGGCAGGCTAGCAGGAGTTGGAAGAACAAATAGTTGGAGGAAATATTGAATTTAACTATTGTAGAAAATCATGGGCATCGAGTTTGTTGGATTAAGTTATACTTCTGTAATTTATATTCGGGGTGATAACCAAGCTTTTCCTAATTCCCTGCTCTGCATTTCTTAAAAATGTGACTGAATTGTCCGATTACTTGATTTCCTTAGGCTTTAACAGGCCAGGAGGTGTAGCAGAGCACAGCGTGGGTCGGGCCTTAGGGCATGTCTGTGCAAGGGGCAGCGAGACTGCTAAGAGGGAGGCACCAGCCGAGGTCGAGCCCCGGCAGGTAAACAGCAGGTTGCCAGCTGAGCGCAAACCGAAGCGAGGCAGAGCTTCGGGCTTCCCGAGGCCCGTGCGAGCGGTGCGTGGCGGGTGCAGCGCGGGCAGCCTGCTGGGGCTGCTGACCGTGCAGCGCTGGCCATGCGTCGCGCGTGTGCGCTGTCTGCGCTAAGGGTTGGGCTTTGAAACTGGAATTTCCGCATAGTGCTCAGACTCGGGGGGACTGCACACTATGAAAATAGGGCCCCCTCCCCATTGCCACAGGGAATGTGAAATGACTTATTTTGGCCTGAGCTAATGTAGACGTTCTTGTAAAAAATGGGAGAGTCTAACCACCAACTCCAGTCAAATTAGGGAAGGGGCTACAGGTCAGTGCAAACTCCTGGGGCACCTGGCAAGCAGAAATGCAGAGCTTCCTGGAGAGAAACTTTATGGCAGTTCACATGAAAAAGAAGGCTGACTGATACCACTTGTCACCCGGAAAAGTGTAGATCAAAATCTGACTGGTCCTATGAAGATTTCTGAAAATAGCAAACAGACCTACGGTAGGATCCAGCAAGTCTACTTCTGGATACCTCCCTGGAGATGGGCTAGAGTCAGTGCTTGAAATGACCAAGATAAGGAAACCATCTGAGCACCAGAGACAGCTAGGTGGGTTGAGATGTTGTGCACAGTGGAAAAGAAGATGCCCTGCCATTTGTGAGAGCAGTGGAGAAACTGGGTGGGTGATGTGAAGCAAAGTAAGTCAAGAGCAGGGAAAATTCCAGACTTACTGATGTGGAATATAGAGAAACACAACAGATGAGGGAAAATAGATCAGAACAAGCCCTTGAAATATAATGCAGGGGTGAGGCTGTGGGAGGGAGAGATGGAGTTATGGGGTTGAGGGGTCCCAGTGCGGAGCTGGAGGACTATGGCTGCCTTGGGTGTTGTTCAGGGACACACCTGGACAACAGTGGACCGGGGTGCCTCTTTCTGTTCAGTACATTATTCTCAAGAAAGCATAATACAGTTTAAAATAAAAGGTAAAATAGATGGAAATCCAAATTTCGATATGCTTGACATTGAATGTAATTATAGTCAGTACTCTGGTTACAAGCAGAGACTGGCAGAGTGACTGACTAGTGTGGAACTGACCGTTTGAATACAAACTTGGAGTGCACACGTGAGGCGAACAGAAGGACATTGTGTAGTGACTGAGACTAGCACACAGCGACAGCAGGTTGGGCGCTGGAAGGTGGATTTACTGGGAGAATAAAGCAGGGCCATTTCCAGAAACTCGGTTTATGCCGAGGAAATGTGCAGCACAGTTAGCAGACAGTGGTGGGTCAGCTGCCTGCGCTGAAGCAAGAGGACTTCTGAATGGTATTGCACACCAAAGACGAACATCAGCTCCAGTTGGATTGACATCGAGAGCAAAGCTGCCATCAGGTAACATGGGACATCATCATCATCACTTTGGGATTAAGAAAGAATTCTTTAAGCAGTTACAGAAAGCATTACATTAAAGGAGAAGATTGTTAGTTTTACAGCTGGAACTGAATAAAAGGCAAGAACTTCTGTTCATCAAAAACACCATTTAAAGCGGGAAAAGGCAAGCCACAGAACAGAACAAGATGTTTGCAACACATATATAACCAACGAGATTATATCCAGAGTCTATAAAGAACTTGTACAAATATAGAGGCAAAGATGGATAACTCAGTAAAAAAATGGGCAGGAGATTTTAAGTGATATTTGTAAAATAAGATACCTAGACAGCCATTAAAACATAAAAGAGGCCTGCTTTGGTGGCACAGTGGGTTAGGATGTAGCACTGCAAGCTAGCGGCATCTGCTTCAGTGTGAGTTCGACTCCCAGCCCCGGAGATAACCCACAGGGCGCAGCAGACCTCTCCTGTCTCGCCTGCTGCTCCCCTCAGCAGTGTACTTCATTGACCTGTCTGCTTTGCTCTCCACTCTGTCTCTGGTGAATCCTCTCACTGCTCCTGCACCTCTGGGCTGTACCCCAGTTCTGTGTGCATAAATAAATACATCTTTAAAAAAATTTTCTTTTAAAAAAAACCATAATAGATAAGAATTATTCATACTTAGTAATCAGGGAAGGAATTTTCCCTAGTAATTGGGGAAACTAGAATCACAAAGATGGCTTATACCCACCAGAATTGCTCAAATAAGGGCAAAAACAGTACCACTTGTAATGTGTGTGTGTTATTGCACAAGCTGTTATATTCTGCTTTCCAGGTGGAAATTGATAACAACCAGCTTGGAATGCTACTTGGAGTTTCCTGCAAGCCGAACATAGTTTGGTTGCGTTACATTAAATCCAGACGTGTTATGTGGCACTAAATGATGGGGGGCGGGGGGAGATTCCGATAGATTGCATCAGTAGGTGGTTTTGCATTGTGCAGAAGTCGCAGGGCATAATTACACAACCCGATGATGTAGCCGTCGTGGGCGCTCGGCGATCACTGTGCTGGGACTGCTGTTGGAGATGCAATCTGATGCTGACTGGAGCATCAGTAAACAGTGCAGATGACATCCACGCCCGGGTCTGTGTCCACCAGAAGCGTGCGCTGGTGTCTATGTATTTAGTGGAGTTAGATCCACACTGCAAGTCGTCAGGTGCTTAATGGAGGCTGGATAAGTAAACATGCCTCCACAGGGAGGCCCACAGAGCGACAGAAAGCAGGCTCCTCCTCGCGCAACAGGCAGGTGACACGAGCAGCTTCGAGAGAAAGAGGGTAGAAGACACATGGGAACACTACCGGGTCGCTCTATGTGTATGAAATCCTGAAATGTGCAAAACTGATCTGTGACGTTGAAATGTGGCCAGTACTTTTGGGGAGGTGGGACGTTTGTGTTGTTGACATCCTACTTCTTGTCCAGGGTTGTGGTGACATGGAGATGTTCACCTGGACACATGTTTTTATTTTATACACTTCTCTGAATTTGTAATAGTTCAGTAAAATATATATGAAGTTGATGGGCATTCTTCTTTTTTTTGTGTGTGTGTGTGTGATGATTCACTGTTTTAAAGCTAGACTTATGTCCATCATATAACTTCCATCAGATTATTATTTCTTCAGGCTGATTTTACCAAAGGTAATAGTTTTAAACTTTTTTTTTTCCTCCCAGGTCTATCAGGAACAATTTTGAATCAGTATTTCAGTCTGGGTTTGTTGACTTTCTTGATTTCGCCAATTATTAGCTTGATTTTATAAAGAATTACTGTCTTTTAGGTGGTGATAAATTGTGCCATTCCTAAAGGGTTGAAGTACAATCAAGCTACACAGACTTTTCACCAGTGGCGTGATGCCAGACAGGTGTATGGTCTCAACTTTGGCAGCAAAGAAGATGCCAATGTCTTCGCAAGTGCCATGATGCATGCCTTAGAAGTGTTGAATTCACAGGAGACAGGTAAGGTGTCTGTGATTTACTTGTTTGCCTAAAAGTATCATGCGTATGTTAAAACAAACCTTTTTCTAGCTGATTTTAAAATCATGTATTTGTAGTAATTCTTGAATTTCCATTGTTTTCTACAAAAAGCGTGAACTTTTGTTTGTTGATAACGACCCTTTCGCCTAGAAGGATAATCTTTACTAGATTGCTTAGTTAGTATTTGTTTAACCCTTGGATTTGAAACTACTTAGTTATCTTCATCCTGTTCTAGAAACTCAACTTTTGCTGCAAGAACTTGTGAACTAGAGAATCAACAATTATGGAAATTATGTGTGTATTATCATCTTAGTTTTTATTAAAAAACACATGTTTTCTGAAAACATGTTTTTAACACTAATAAGCCTGTAAGCGTCTAGTAGGACTGCCTGTATTCCTGTATTCTAGTAAATTGAAAACAACTTTGACTTCTAAACTTTGCTTGAAGATTTTCGGAGTGCCCTCGCGTGGTGCAGCTGCTAATTGCATTTATAATGTGATTGCGCTAATAGCTACATGCTGATCGCCTAGTGGTTATCAGAAAGATATGTAGGAGTACGTCACTTTTAAAAATTGCCAGGATTTAGAACTGCATACATGTCAGAGAGGAGCTCTGCTTTTGTCTTAGTTTAAACATAGAAAAGAAATATAAGTGCATGATTATCTCTTTGGGGTGATAGATTTTATCATCAGAAAAATGAATGTTATATATAAAATCATAAAATATGATTACTCTTTCCTTTGTTGGATATGTAGTTGAGATCGTGATATAAGTATGTTGTAAACAAAATTGTGTATTTTAAGAGGAAGGACTCTTACAGTCAGATTAAAATTTGATACTCTGTTGATAGTAGAGAATTTCAAAATTTTGATTTGAACCTAAGTTAAAAACTGACTTTCGTTTACACCTTGCCCTGTTCCAGAAAGGACTGCAGCGGCTCCCCATGCGGCAGTTTGTGTCAGATATGAATTTCAGTGCAGGCTGTGTTGGGGTCTTGCTGATACTATGCCTTAGATAGTTTGTTAGATTTTTTGAGGAAATAAATCTATCTATAATTTGTAATTAGCTTTCATGAACTCCTGAGTTATCTGAAGTCCAGGAAATACCATAGAGAAAGTCTGCCTGTTGTATATCTTCTGTGTAGGTTGTTCTCCAGGTCAGTGCACTGCACCTGCAGACTTCAGTACTTTATCAGCATCCTGCTGTAGTTACAGAATTACTTTCCTGTCACCATACCTCTGTTGTAGAAAGAAACTAGAGATGTGGTTCTTAATCTAGGTCAACTACATGATAAATAATTAAGGGGCCAGAGTCTAGATTAGACACGTGTGTGTGCATGTGTGCACGTGGCTGGCAGTAACTGATGGCTTTCCCAAGTATGGAAAACACGAAAACTTTATTTCTAAGCCTTCGAAAGAGAATCCACTGATATCAGGAACTAGTGTTATCAATGTAAAGTTGTTAACTGTTGCCATGTCTCCATTTTTTTTTTTTTAAGCCAAATGGGGAGGATTATTTTTGTAAGCATGTAGTCAGGTAGTTGGCTTTCAAAAAGAAATACTAATTAATGTGATCTTGATCTTTTGAAATTAGTGAGTCTTAATGTGGGAGAGACTCAGTTATATTATCTGTTGTAATTTCCATGTTGTAGAAAGTTTGACAAATGGGAAAATTACCCATCATCTCATTAGCTATACAAGCATTTTGGTAAGGCAAAAAAAAATTTAATAGATTTTCAGATGATGTTGGAGGTGTTCTCTGTTACAGTCCCAACCTGCACTACCATGGGCAAAAGGATAAGGAGCAGGGAGCTGGTTCACCGTAGGCGCTTTCTTGCGTCATGGTCTGAGGAACTGGCAAAGAGGCTCTTGGTTCAATAGGTTGTTCGTCAGCGAAAACAGAACATATAGAAATAACTGATGCTCTGATTTATCTGGAAGTGACTGTTTTCATAGACTCCTAGTTAGATGCTCCTCTCTGATTTTTGGCGTTTCTGACCTGGGAGTGGACCTGGAAGGGAGGGAGAGTGCAGTGCGGGCGGGACTAGGGAAGGGCTTAAAGTCTGTGGGTTCCAAAGTGGGGTAGAGGTGACCCCCCATGTCTTGTTTTGTGGCTGCTTTCCTTTCACCTAAGCAAACATCCTCAGCTGTGTTGCCTCTCACTTCGAGCAGTCTCTTGCCACCGCTGTTTGCTTTGGGTTTGTCGCCCTGTTCCTTTCTGAAACCACCTGCTGTCTTCCTGCCAAAGCCAAGTTGGAAAACTTCACTTGTTTGTCCCCTCCCCACAACAAGATGCCGGTGGGTCTGAGCAGAAGCACAATGAATTTAGTCGTAAAGGTAGAGTCACGACAGGTCATAGTGTTTCCTGCTCTTCATGTTTTACGACTTTAAAAATAGTTAATTTTCTGTATTTGAATACTCTAGTTTATTCAGTATTTTCCATTGAACTTTGGTTAAACTTTCTCACTGACTTTCCATGATTATGTACCCTTTTGTTCAAACACATCCCACCCCTCCCTCCAGAAACTGTGCATTAACTGACCAGAAAAAAGAAAGGACGGAAGGAAGGGAGAGAGAAAGAAGGGAAGCTTCTCTGATTAATGTGGGCACTTGGGGGCCCAGAGCACTGTGGACTTCTAGGGCAGGATTTGACAGTGACTGATCCATCTTTTTGTCAAAATTGATCATCACACCTTTGTTCCCAGATGATTGTTTTAAATTAATAGAATGGCGTTGGGGCCTGCCACACTGACCTTGCTGAGGTGCTTCTGCTGTTTAATATTTCCACTTCTTTATGAAGAGGGTGGGTGGTAGGGATGCTGCCTTTGTTTTGTTTTTAACTGGGTGTGCAATTATCTAATATACTTGGAAGTACAGGAGGTGCTAAATGCAGGGAGTTATATTTGGAACTTAAACACAAATCCCATGTTCTAACATTCTGAAAAAGCGCTGAATTAACGCTCTTCCTTTGAAGCCGAATGCTGCAGCCTGTCTGTTTCTTTTGACTTATGGAAACAGGCTTGACTCTACACTGGACATTCAAAACTCATCGGGGCTGCTATTTTTAATTTCTGCGCCATTTATCATTTAGATTTATGACGTTTTGCAGATAATAGATTATATAAAACAAAGTCAGTCCTTGTGATGACTAGAGGTAAATTTGCCCAAGCTGTTCTGTGTTGAAAAAGGTTCAAGTGTTTGAAAATAGGAAAATGATTTTTTAAAATCTATTTTTCAAAAGGAAATCATATGCTTAGCCAATGTTATTCTCCCGCTTTCGTTCTCTACCAAGATTTAGCAAACCTTTGAAGAGGAAAACTTTAAAATATTTTACCACTAACACTGCTTTTTCCATGAGAACATAGTCAAGGATAGCCTTGTGCTGGAAATTTTCTTTTTATTTTTTGGAATAAATATTTACAAACAATTGAAATTTCCTTCATGTTTATTCTTACTGCTAGCTTGTCCCTTCCAACATCAGTATTTGCATGAATTTTATCTCAGTGTTTTTTAATCTTTTTGAAATACATTTTGGAGTTAACTAGATTTTTAACATTTTGAAAAGTTTTTAGAAGCTGTTCAGAAAGTATTCATTAGAGCAGTACCAGGGTGCCCCATCGAATATGCACTGTGTAACACGTGGGGAATAACGCTGAGGTGATCAAACCTGTGTCTTGCCTTCCAGGATTTCACGTGTAGGCTGAAGCTTCTGTAAATAAGGTCAACAAAAGTAGACTACGGTTTGTAAAGTGCTTGAGTGCATTTATGTGGAAAGAAAACTGCAGGGTCAAGAAAGGCTTTAAAAAGAGCATGGCATTTGAGTGTTTCTGAAGAATGAGGAACCCGCACCCCAGTGGGACATCGTGGACAGGCGCAGACATGGGAGGCCATGAGCACTCGGGAACAGCGTGGCTCGGACCTGAGAACTTGCACTCAGGGAGGGGACTCACGAGAGCTAGCGTGGGACGGTGGTGGCTCGACATCGCTGTGAGGAGCGCGCGTTGCGACGCTGGCGGCCCGCGCACATCGGGAGGTGTGAAATGTGCGTTTGGTACCTCCAAGCTGTGCTGCTTGGTGAACTTGCAGCGTGTAAACCTGCTTCGGTGCTGTTTAGGTCTCCACTTGAGAGGGAGAGGCGTGACAGGTGTGAAGAAAGGAGCAGAAGGACTGCTCAGGTGACTGACACCCGAGCGCCTGCTCTCCTGGGAGCGCGGGGTGTTTGGGTCCTTATTTGGCTGTTGGGACATTTCTGCGGCAGGAGTAATTGTTCGTGCTCACTGCTATGTGCCAGGTCCTGCTTGGGTGTTTACACCTTGACCTTGATAATGATCCTGCAAGGTCAGTGCAACTGTCCTTGTTTCAGAGATGATACTGGACCTTAGAGAAAGTCACTGGTTGGCCCAAAGGTCTCAGTTACCAAGTGGCAAAAGTGGCATTTGTATCCAAGTCTAGTTTTAGAATTTTACCACTTTCCTCTGGGTCAGTGAAATGTAATGGGAGGCCAAGACAGAATGTGCTGTAAGGTGGTTGTTGTGTGTCAGCTTGGGCCAGAGAGAGAGGAGAGGATGGGAAATAGGTCATAAACTGATTCTTACATATTGCAGTTGGAGTGTTTTATTAATGCTTTCGTCAAGTCGTATACACATGGACTTGGAAAGGACCACCACATGTGATCTTGGTGGCATTTTCATGTTTAGGCTCCTAAATCAACTACCCTTATTTGCTAATGTAACATTTTGAGACAGGTAAAAAGCATTAGTAACAAGTTGGGGGGGGCAGTCTTTCTGTGGGTACTGTGATTACCTACTTCATTCTTTGACTTACGTCTCCCACGGCTTCCGTCTTCCTGAGCCCACAGTCTCCGTGATGCCGAGGCTTGCCCTGACAGGGAACGCTGGGCGCGGAGGGGAGGCGCCACTGGAGTTCTGGACTTTATTTCAGGCTCTTCCTTTTTATTCCATTTGCTTTTCAGATTGAGATCT